GCGCCACCGTGCAGACGTCGTTTCTTCGCCAAGGAGTCATGGTGCCCGCAGCGCGCAAGCCCCGCGCCGAACTCTGAGCTCCGGCCGTGCAGTGCGTCCCCTCCTCCGGTATCCTCATCCGAGCTTCCCGCGCCTGCCTTGCTTGCAGATCATGAAGCTATAGCCTGGAGCCTCTTGCCTCTGAGCCCCGCATCGTTCCGCTGCAGCCCTAGAGCTGCTGGACCACCGACAGCTCTCCGACCCTTCAAGCTCGGGATCTTCTCCCAGGGACGCCGAGCGCTCGGAAATGGCGCTTCGCGGACCCCTCCGGCCGCGCAAAGTTCGCAGGAGGCGAGAGATGCTGCCGCAGCAAGTTGGCTTCGTGTGCGCCGTACTGGCCCTGGTGTGCTGTGCGTCTGGCCTCTTCGGAAGCTTGGGTAGGTGCGGGGAAGGATGTTCTCCACCCCGGGAGTTGGGGACCCTGAGCTGGGAAGCCTCAAGGCAGCTCCAGCTCCTTCCCTGTCACATTGGTCCCCAGTGTTTACCCTCCCCGCTCCGGCGTGGGGGTGGTAGTGCGCTCCCAGGAGGGTTGAGACACGCGCTGGACTGTGGCGCCGGTTCCGCTCAGCTGCTCAAGCTCCCTGGGGTTCGGATGGCTGTAGGTGTGTGTTGCTGGGACCGAAGCCTGCACCACCTCTCCCTGGAGTGTGCGGGGTAATGGGCAACCCAGGGCGGCCCAGGGGTAGATTCTCCTCCAGCTTTAGGGTGTGTGAAACGGAGAAGTGCACTTTCCTGTTCTTCGTGGCTGCAAAGGCTGTGCTCAGTCCCTTAGAGACTCAGAGTCTCAGGCTAGGTCTCAGCTCTCCCCTTGCTACCGCTCTGGTCCAAATGGGCAGCCTGGGTTTCCTCCCTGAACCCTAAACGGAGAGAGGCAGTCTGTCCCCGCGGGAGACTGCTGCCTTGTTCCAACATCGTTTCTCTTAACTCCGCTTAATCCCCACGGAAAGGGAGGGCTGGCTAGCAGAGCCCTGATCTACACTCCTCCAAGCAGAAGGCGATCTGAGAGTCTGTTAAAACATGCAAATTTCAGGAGTGGGGAAAGAAAAGAAACGTACGAAATATCTATTTCAGGGGGAGTTGGGCTCCTGTTTTAGTCTTTAAAGGACATTAACTGCCTAGATAGTTCAGAGGTGGGTGCTGTGAATCCTTTGGGGTCCCCGCTTGTAAAATAAGCGTTGCCAATTTAGCCACCAAGGCAGAGGTACAGCGGAGGGAGAGCACCTTTTGGAGTGGCTAGAAAGCCCCATTAACATAGCGTATTGGGACAGTTTAGAGACCTATGCAGTGAAGAGAAAAGCAAGTGAAACCTGATTAAACTTTAAAAAGCAAAAGACACCACTATCTTTCAACACCCAAACTGCGATTTGGGGATAGAGGGCTAAAGAGTGGCTAAAGAAAGTTTATTTTTAAGACCCCAATACCCAATACTTTGCAATTGGACAATTAAACACAAGAAATAACAAAATGTCTAGGCTGTGAGGTGCAGGCATTCTGGAAGAGGTATTTCTACCCAGCTGAAACAGTGGGCATCCTGATAGGTAAATGGATACTTAGGGTGCAGTCTGAAGCCATAACTATTTTATTTGCTAGATCAGGAGTTAGCTTAGGGTATTTAGCTATTTCTGCTCAGAGGCATCCATGCCTTCTCTGGCTCTGTGTGATCCCTGGACCACAGCATAATGACCTGGGAGTTTGAAACTACAGACTCACAATCTCCACCTTGGACCTCCTGAATCAGAGTTGTATTTTGACCGGATCCCTCAGTGATGAGTGTGTACACCTGGCCACCTACCATCAGCTGGCTGAGCTCACAAATTTAACCATCCAGGTGTAGGGACCACCTTGAGCAAATTTACTGAGAAAGTATTTAATGCTCCTAATGAAATCCTTTGTTGAGTGGGGGTGGGTGATGGGAGCTGAGACCAGCCCAGTCTTGTCCAAGGTCAGAACACACAAGGACCCATGTGAAACTAGACACAACGGATTAGATTCAGGAAACAGAATACTGTGTGTAAGCAGGTGATAGCAAACTGCCAATCACAACATCACTCCCTACAGGTGGTTCGAAATAGCAAACCTGGGGCTGGATAGATGGCTCAGCGGTTAAGAGCTTGTACTGCTCTTCCTGAAGACCTGAGGCCAATTCCCAGCACCCCTAGTCATGCGGCTCACAACCACCTGTAATTCCAGCGTCAGGCAGATCTGACTCTCCTGGCTTCCATGCACACTTGAACTCAAGTGTGCTTACCCCTACACAAACAAATACATATAGTTAAAAATAATTTAAAAAATAGCCTATGGCTATGGCTGACCTAGCTCTATGGACAGGTATAAGGTCAGTTTTGAGAACTCAAGAATCACGCTCACCTGATGGTATCCGTGACTTATTCTTTCCAATCCAGGCCACAAAACAGCTTCTGCTAGCAAACATGTTCTGCCAGACACATGGCGAAATAGAAAGTTGATGGCACCGATAAATGGAACTCCGCCTGCTAAGAACTGCACAGATCCTGGTAAGAAGATGTGGTCTCCCCTTTCCTTCAGGCATTTAACCCAGATTGGATTTGATGCTTATGTGGACAGATCCAGCTATTGTTAGGAAAGATTGTCTTGGGAACCTGAATGAGAAAGGGTAGCTTCATGGTGTTGAAATGAAACCTATAGATATACATCAGCCATGCTGCTAAGCAACACAAGAGCTTCCTTTATCCAGCAACTATGAAGGTCATACTCAAGAGTCTAAAATGTATCTTTTGTTCTAAAGGTGATGCATTCCCCTGCTCTCTTGATTCTTTGGCTTTGCTCTGGTGTCTTTGCTCACTGTGCGCATTCGATGACCCCCTTGGGACAATGAATCCATAGCTTCTGGAGGGTATCTTGGTGAGATGCTCTACCAGGATGGGAACACTCCAGGCCACTGAAAGGGAGAACTCTGTGTTGGTTCCTGGGCCCTTCCTTTCTAATGGAAATCCTCAGGTAGTTGGATTCTGCTTGTTCTGGGAAGCAGTTTTAATGTGCTTTTCTGGGGGTATCTTGGGTGGTAGGTTCCCAGGGGTAACATCTGGTCTATTCTGCTCAGGCAGGCCTCTCTTAAACCAGCACAAAGATCCACAGGAGTAGAGAGTATACCTGCTGTCAGTAGGCACATGAAAGCTGCCTAGACCTCTCATAGGGCAGGTTTAGGGCATTTGCTCTTGATCATCTCTTGGGGTCTTTGTGAAGAGAATACAGTTAGGTGAAGAATTCAAAAGCCCTAATGGGAAATAGAAGATCTTGCTGTAGATGGCTTTTCTATGGAGTTGCTGGGCAAAGCACACAATTTTCTGGGATTTCTAACCTGTAAAGTAGACTGAATAGTGCTTGCCTGCTCTGGGTTGAAGAATCTGCTGAGGCTCTTGCAAAGGGCTGTGTGTAGGAGATGGCACCCCCTGGCAAAGGAGTGGGCTCAGATGCAGAGCACCAGGCTTTTGATGTCAGCTTCAGTAAGGAGGTGTGTTTTCTAGGTTAGGAAAGGTCTGTGGTAGAGACACAAGTCTCACAACTCATTGACACTGAAGCTGGCTTTGGAACCCTGGTCTGTGTGCCTGTACTGTCTTGGGCTCCTTGTGCTTATGAAGGCTTCTGTCATCTCTCTAAGCTGTCTTGCTTCGATATAGTTCAACACCATGAATTCCTCTTTCCCAAGAGGGCCTCTAGAAGAATTTTTGGGGTATGGAGGAATAGCGAGGACTTTCAAAGCAGCATTGTAATCCCCATTGAGCCAGGACATGTGTCTCTGAATCACCCCACCATCGTGGTGAGCCTGAAGGCAGTGGTACCATGCTGCCATTGACATTCCCAACACATCTTCTTAGTTCAGGTACTGCCCTGGCTCCCACCCAGGTGTTTACTCAATCGCTAAGGCCAGGGACAGGTAGTCCTGGATCCCTTCTGTCATCCCAGGGACCTGACATTCTAGAATTGGCATCTTGATTTAAGCAGGGCCCCCACTTCTAACACTAGAGTTTTCTTCTGCTCTACTGTGGTCCCTGTATTTTCAGTCTGGTCAAAAAAGCATTCATGGACTTTCGAACAGTGTGTTCTGTCTCATAGGAAGGACTGGCCTTGTCTTATGGAGAGGGAAATGTGAGAAACCACCCACATCTTTAGCAATAATTAACACTCAGATTACATTCTATGCTGACTGTATGCATAGCAGGGCCCAGCACATAGAAAGGTCTCAGTCAATGAGATGATGAAATGAAAGCACATCTCGATGTGTGACATACATCAGTCTTCATGGGATTTTTGTAAAGATGGGGACATAAAGGCCAGTTTAGTGGATTCTAAAGATCTCATCTCTGGGTTACCTGACTTCTAGTGCTATCTTAGTTACTTTTCTATTGCTCTGATGAAACACTATGACGAGGACAACTTACTTTTTTTTTTTTTTTTAAAAAGTGTTTAATTGGGCGTAGAGTTTCAGAGAGTCCATGATGGTGAAGCAAAGGCATAGCAACAGGAATAGCTGAGAGCTTACATCTTGATCCACAAGTAGGAGGCAGAGACAGAGACAGAGACAGAGACAGAGACAGAGACAGAGACATGCGCGCGCGTGTGCACACACACACACACACACACACAGGTAATGGCACAGATCTTTTGAAACCTCAAGTCCAGCCCATGGCGCACCTCCTGCAACAAAGCCACACCTCCTAATCCTTCCCAAATAGTTCTACCAATGTGGGGACCAAGTATGAGCCATTCTTATTCAAACCACAAGAAGTACCATACCCTTCTGACTCCCACCCATCTCTTCCCAGGCCAGGCAGGAGCTTTCCTTTCTGCCTCCTCTCTTTCAATTTTACATCTCAGCAAGCATTTGCTATTATTCTATGCCAGTTCCCGTGTAGCCACAGACTATGTCTAAGTAGGTTACAAGAGGCAGCCCCTGCCATTAGGTAGCTTACAGCCAAGAAAAGTGGACAAGATCTTGACCCAGAAAAGCCACATAACAATGAAGGATCACAGAGACCTCCAGTCGGACTGGAAGGAGACTTCCTTTTTGGTGCACATAGGAGGAAGAGAGGCCAGCTGGGGTTCTGGGTGTAGATGAGATTGGCCTTTGTTTCAATGACAGAAACCTTCCTAACTGAGTTCAACAAACACGGGAAATGATTGACTTGGTAACTGGAGAATGGGTTCAGAGGTTAGAAGGTATCTGTAACTCAGCTCCCCCGAGTCTCTGGACTCAGTTGTATTCTAGCATGGGAAAATGGTCACCAAAAGGCCACTTTCATGTCCTAGCAGGCTTTGAATGTTGCAAAGAGTGTATCTGAACCCTGAGACATGTTCTGTTGATAACCCTAAGTCAACTAGTTGGGCCAGATGAGTGTTGGGTTCTGGATTATCTTAGGCCTCAGTCACAGGCTAGACATCTGGAGTTAGCAAACAAAGCTGCTTCTCCAAGTTCCACCTGGGGGTTAGTATCTCTGGGAACCTAAGATGCTGTGTGCCTGGGCACCTGTGGGTTCATATGGCTGAGCACCTATGGGTCAGCATGGCTGGACACTTGGGGACCAGGTAGGTAGATGCTCACCCAAGGCTTTCATCCTGGGCTGCTGCTGTGATAAAGGTGGACTGGGGCTCCAGGTTAGAAGTTCCTAAGTGTGACAGAGTCCATGCTTTTCAAGAGTGTGATAGGTGTTTCCAAGAAGTCAGAGTTGGTGCTGTCAAGGTCGGGCCCCAGAGATTCATTGTAGGGGCATCATCAGGAGCCTGTTAGAAGCACCATCTCGCCATCTCTCCTACTAGATCAGAATACGCATCCTAACAAGGTCCCCATTGAGTCATGCGTACACGAGATGCCAGTGAGCATGACCTGGAGTGCTGCTGGACACTTGCAGGTAGATGCTTGATCAGTATTTGAATGTTAGACTAAGGCATGGCTTAGTGGTGGAATATTTGCCCATCATGCACAAGGCTCTGCCTTTGATTGTCCTGGCACTGAAAAATCATGTATGAATGTTTAATAAAAGTTAGATGTGGTTTAACATAGTAATTTTCCCAAGTATTTGTTATTTATTTTTTGTTTTTTTGTTTTGTTTTGTTTTTTGTTTTTTGAGACAGGGTTTCTCTGTGTCGCTTTAGAGCCTATCCTGGCACTCGCTCTGGAGACCAGGCTGGCCTCGAACTCACAGAGATCCTCCTGCCTCTGCCTCCTGAGTGCTGGGATTAAAGGCGTGTGCCACCAACGCCCGGCACATTATTTATTTTTCACAGAGGGAAATAAAAATAATTACTTAATTTTGGCCAATGAAGTCTATAGAAAATTCATAATTTTCCCTCAGAGGTTTGAAGGCATGCTCTAGCCTCCAGGCCTTAGATATTTCTTTTCAGTCTGTACCAATGCTTCTCAACCTTCCTAATGCTGTGACCCTTTAATACAGCTAGCTCCTCATGCTGTGGTGACTCTCAACCATAAAATCATTTTTGTTGAGAATTTATAACTGTAATTTTGCTACTATTATGAATCAAAATGTAAATCATTGTGTTTACCAATGGTCTAGGTGACCCTTGTGAAAGGGCCATTTGACCCCCAAAGGGGTCATGACCCATTGGTTGAGAACTGCTGGTCTATACGGAACAAGCAGTACAGCAGACAGGGGTCTGTGTGTGTGCAAGCTCTGTGCAATAGTAATAAGCAACAGAGACCTTGAGTTCCTTAGTTACTACTTCTGGCCACTCTAACAAAATACCCCAGGCTGAGTGGCTAAGCAGATGCTTTCTCACAGTTTTGGAGGTTGGGAAATTGAAGATCAAGTTGCTGGTTTGGTGAGGGCTCCCTGCCTGCCTGCCTTAGAGAGAGCTGTCCTTTCGCTCACTGTGGTAGTGAGAAAAAATGATTAAAATTCCTTCTCTTCCCCCTCCTCCCCCCTCCTCTCTCTCTGGGCCTTCTCTTTCATATAAGGGTACTAACCCATCATAGAAACCCCACCGTCATGGTCTCATTTAACCCTAATTTCCACTCCATATAACCAAAGGCATCCCCTCCAAATGATGTCATATATCTGGTCATAGGACTGTTACCTGCTTGGTTTGTCACCTGCTCTCTCTGGCAATGAGGGGGAGCTGGGGTATCACAAGCACTGGGAAGCCATTTTGTTGATGGAGCTTAATGAGGATGAGTTAACCACACGTGTCACTAAACATTTACTCTTGTGGAAACAAACATTTCTTAGTTTGCTATGTCTTATATTGGAGGGTTTCAAATTCTGAGGATAGTTTATTAGAACATTTTTACTTGTCCCCCCCCCCCCCCCCCGTTTAAACTTCGAGAAGCCAGGCTCCCCCTGTGCTTATCCCCACCCATCCCCACATTGGAGATTGAGTAAATGTCTCATTTTCAGCTGTGGCACCCTGTAGTTTGAGTTTCTGGTATCTTGTACCTTTAAAAGGAAGGTGAAGGAGAGAGGAGGGTGGTTTGCATCCCCCTTCTCCCCCTCCCCATTGCTGCTGGGGGGGGGCGCCGTTC